CCTTCCTGCTCCTATGATGCTGCTTGGCCTGCTGTGTTCATCCAGCTCTACACCTTGTTATCTCAGATGTAATATGTTGTTGCTATTTTGTCTAAAACCTGTGTCGTTTAGATCCTGACCACATTACCAATAAAAAAAACAGCTTCACCCTCTATCTGGTCTCACAAAATCCTTTAGAATTTTCAGCACTACTGTTACTCTCCCACTGACCTACTACACTGTTAGGTAAACAATTCCAGTTTCTCTAATGTCTCCACAGACTGAACATGCACCATTCTAATAAATCTCCCATGCACCCTCTCCAAACACTGGCCATCCTTCCTGAAGTGCAGTGTCCAGAACTGAATACAATACTACAGCTAGAGTCTGTGTCTGTGACTAAGAAAGGGTTAATATGACTACATTGGTGACAATGTGGCCTGTGGGACATTTTCGTGCTTCAAATTGCTCTTTGCACCTGATCATCTAACAAACATCAAGCCTGAGTGTTGCTAATCAGCTGTGAATCTTTCTTATACATTAGATATTGAGACAAAAACATTGGGTAGCCACAGAAATATGCAACTTGCAGGGCACACTGCCAGTGCCTGAATAAGTAGACCCGAGCTGCACTCAAGATTGACCAAGTTCAGATGAGTCTACTCCCAGCAAAATTTGTTGGTAAAAGTGCATCTGTTTCCAAAAGTAATTTGATACTGTTCCACAGTTGTGTCAACGAAGTTGCAGCACATGAAATAACAGCAATATGAACATAACACTGGCTGATCAAGCTGACAGGAATCACAGAGTAATGGATGTTTTTTTTGGACTGGAAGAAGGTTTACTGTAGAGTTGTCCAAGTCATTGGAACTCTTGCTTTTCCTGAGAAATATCACGAACTTAGACCTAGGAGTGGAGGGCACCATTTCAAAGCTTGCGAATGATACGAAGCGTGGAAGCCTTGAGAACTGTGAGGAGGGCCACGTGGAACTCCAAAAGCACAATGACAAATTGGAGGAATGGGCAGACAGCTGGCAGATGGAATCAATGCAGGGAATTGTGAAGTGATACATTTTGGTAAGAAGAACATGGACGATCAAATACAAACAAAAGGGCACAACTCGAAAGAGGGTGCAGGGACAACAAAACCTGGGTCGATCTGCACAGAGATCACCGAAGGTGGCATGGCAGGCTGAGAGAGCAGTTACTTAAGCACAGCAGAATCCTGGGCTTAATCACTAAGGCCATCAGGTATAAGTGTAAGAAGATGCTGAATCTCAGCTGGACTTTTGTGTCCTTGGTACTGTACTTTGTGAAGACCTTGGACAGAATACAGAAAAAATGCAAAACTCAGTGATTCTGTGATTTCAGACCACTGTGTCGATATCAGTGCATTTCACCCAAATTCCAGAAGGAGATGGAAATGGTGTTCAGGAGGAGGCAGTGCATTCCAAACCAGAGTAATTTGCTATTTTGAGAAAATTCACATCATCCCCTGTTACCTTAAATCATACCAACCCCATGGTTACCAATACTTTCTGCATTGGAAGGATGAAGGAACCAAGAATCGATGGCACTGTTGCTAAGTTTGTAGATGACACAAAGATAGGTGGAGGGACAGGAAGCGTTGAGGAGGCAGAAAGGCTGCAGAAAGACTTCGACAGGCTAAGAGTCTGGACAAAGAAGTGGCAGATGGAATACAAAGTGGGAAAGTGTGAGGTTATGCACTTTGGTAGGAAGAATAGGTGCATAGACTATTTTGTAAATGGGGAAAAAGCTTCAAAAATCTGAAGCACAAAGGGGCTTGGGAATCATAGTTCAGATTTCTCTTAAGGTTAACGTGGAGATTCAGTTGGCAGTTAGAAAGGCAAATGAAATGTTAGCATTCATTTTGAGAGGGCTGGAATACAAGAGCAGAAATGTACTGCTGTGGATGTATAAGGCTCTGGTCAGACCACATTTGAAATATTGTGAGCAGTTTTGAACCTCGTATCTAAGGAAGGGTGTGCTGGCATTGGAGAGGGTCCAGAGAAAGTTTATAAGAAAGATCCCGGGGATAAAGGGCTTGTCATATGAGGAGTGGTTCAGGACTTCGCGCCTAAACTCAGTGGAGTTTAGAAGGATGAGGGGGAATCTGATTGAAACTTACTGAAAGGTCTGGATAGAATGGACATGGAGAAGATGTTTCCATTTGTAGGAGAGACTAGGACTCGAGGGCACAGCTTCAGGGTGAAGGGACAACCCTTTAGAACTGAGATAAGGAGGAATTTCTTCAGCCAGAAGGTGGCTGATCTGTGGAACTCATTGCCACAGAGGTCTGTGAGGCAAACTCCCCAAGGGTATTTTAAGACATAAGTAGATAGGTTCTTGATTAGTAAGGAGATCAAGGGTTATGGGGAGAAAGCAAGAGAATGAGGTTGAGAAACATATTTGCCATGATCAGATGGTGCAGCAGACATGATGGGCCGAAAGGGAACACTTTTTGCCAGTGGGAACACTTTTTCCCTATCTATCTGTCAAAACCCTCTTCACGTCCTCTTTCACCTAGTCATAGGAGCTCATATTGGACAGTCTGAGATATGCCCAGATCGCCCCAACTAAGGCCTAACCAGCATCTCCACCCACGAGAAGATGCCATGAGTAGGGTGGAGCTCGGGAGTAGCAGACACCAGAGCAGCTGAAATCCAGACCACCCCAGTTACCCATTATTCTGCAGCTCGCTGCCATGGAGAGTATCCAAGCTCAGGGCTCCACTGCCGCACAGGCTGAGGATAGGGACGG